TTGGGAATAAAATCCTGGAAAATCGGGAATGAAACCCGGGAAAAGCGGGAATGAATCCCTGGAAAAGTGGGAATGAAACCCGGGAAAAGTGGGAATGAAGCTCTGGAAAACTGGGAATGAAACTCTGGAAAATCGGGAATAAAATCCTGGAAAAGCGGGAATGAAACCCGGGAAAAGCGGGAATGAAATCATGGAAAAGCGGGAATGAAGCTCTGGAAATGCGGGAATGAATCCCTGGAAAAGTGGGAATGAAACCCGGGAAAATCAGGAATGAAGCTCTGGAAAAGTGGGAATGAAATCCTGGAAAAGCAGGAATAAAATCCTGGAAAAGCGGGAATGAAACCCTGGAAAAGCGGGAATAAATCCCGGGATAATGAGGATTTCCCCAAGGACCGGTCCCGTGCCCGGCTGGAGCCGCCGATCCCGAAATTCCTGAAATTCCCGCAATTCCCGAAATTCCCGCAATTCCCGAAATTCCCGAAATTCCCGCAATTCCCGAAATTCCCGAAATTCCCGCAATTCCCGGCGCCTGCGGGTGGGGGGAGGGGGGAGGAGCTGCCGGGAGCGCGAGAATTTTCCAAGGAAATTCCAAAAAAAACCCCCAGAATTCCCGAGTGGAATCTCGGGAGCTTCTCCCGGGATTGGGACGAGGCTCCAGCACAATTCCCAAATTTTTGGGGGGTTTTGTCCCTGCCTGGAGCTCCCGGGAGCGGGAATTTTGTAGGAATTCTATTCCCCAAAAAAATGGGATTTTTCAGGAATTTTCCCCTAAAAAAAACCCCAAATTTTTCAGGAATTTTCCCCTAAAAAAACCCGCAAAATTTTGCAGGAATTCTATCCCAAAAAACCCCCCAACCCCCCCCAATTTTGCAGGAATTTTCCCCTTAAAAAAACCCAATTTTGAAGTAATTCCACCTCCAAAAAAAACCCCCCCAAAATCCCAATTTTCCAGGAATTTTACCTCCAAAAACCCCAAATTTTTCAGGAATTTTCCCCTTAAAAACCCCAAATTTTTCAGGAAAAAAACCCCAAATTTTTCAGGAATTCTCCCAAAAAAACCCCCAATTTTTCAGGAAAAAAACCCCAAATTTTTCAGGAAAAAACCCCAAATTTTTCAGGAAAAAAACCCCAATTTTTTCAGGAATTCTCCCAAAAAAACCCCAATTTTTTCAGGAATTCTCCCCCCAAAAAACCCCCCCAAACCCCAAATTCTCAGGAATTCTCCCCAAAACCCCTCCCGATCTCTCGGTTTTCCGCAGGGCTGTTGCAGGAGGCGCCGTTTGAGGCGGAAAATGAGGTTTTGGAGATTCTGGCTGGGAATTCCACCCAGTCCCTCCTGGAGCGTTGTTCCGGTGAGATCCCGGAATTCCCGCGGGGCCGCGGCTCCATCCCAAAATTTGCGCTTTTTTGGCCGCTTTTCCCCCCAAAAATTCCGTCTTTTCCTTGGCTTTTTCGCAGGAAAAACTCTCTCCTGGAATTCGCCTTTTTTTGCTGATTTTCCCCCGAATTCCTGTCCTTTTTTCCCTCAAAATTCCAGCATTTCCCGCAAAATTCCCATTGTTTTCCCCTAAAAATCCATCATTTTCCCCAAAAATCCATCATTTTCCCCAAAATTCCATCCTTTTTCCCCAAATTCCATCATTTTCCCCCAAAATTCTGTCGTTTTCCTCCGAAATTCCATCATTTCCCTCAAAATTCCCATTGTTTTCCTCTAAAATTCCATCCTTTTCCCAAAAACTCTGTCCTTTCCCCTAAAAATCCATCATTTTCCCCCAAAATTCTGTCATTTTCCTCCAAAATTCCATCCTTTTCCCTCCAAAATTCCATAATTTTCTCATAAATTCCATCATTTTCCCAAAATTTCATCCTTTTCCCTCCAAAATTCCGTAATTTTTCCCCAAAAATTCCATCATTTCCCCCAAAATTCCATCATTTTCCCAAAAATTCCAATGATTTCCCCCAAAATCCAGTCCTATTTCCCAAAA